AACATGCATAAGCAATGTGGGTTAGGTTAAAAAAAGATATAATTCATAGAAAAGGCTTCGGCTTATTTGATATGGGTCAATAAACAAGAAAAAAGATTTATTAGGCTTAAAGTAAAGGTACCAAGGATGATTTATTCATGGTGGGCTTGAAAAAGGCTCAACAATCCAAGGATGGCCTAAATCATTTCCTGAATCAAATACAACTTAGGATTTCACCTCAAGGGTGAGTAGGCAAATTCTAGAGTCATGCTTATGCAATTTTATAGTCACATACTTTTCACAAAGATTCATGCATGCCAGAGATCAAGATGACAATTCATAATTCCACAAGTAGCATACCTACAATTTCATTTCATGTTTTTCACTATGCTCATACTTGTCTCAAGATCATACATAAGTCACTTATGAATACTTGCAAAAGTCAACTAAGATTGCAACATGATGAGCAAAGGCATAACAACATGGTTTGAAAACAAAAACACTAGGGTAATCTTTTAAAAATTGTTGGAAACTATTTCAGCATAAAAATTTTCCCTCCCCCACACTTGAATTGCATAAAAGTTCTAAACAATAAAAGGTTTAGGGTAAAGGAAAACTCCCCCGTCTTTGTTTCAATGAGGTCAAATGCTTTGGGTTCCATTATTCATCCTTTCTCTATCTTTATTCCTAAATAAAACAAAACATACAAAGCAAAGATCAAGGTAAACTTGTTCAAACAAAATAATGAAAACAAATAACAAAAACATCCTTAAAATGAAAATGAAACTTTGGTTGCCTCCCAAACAGTGCCAATTTTGGTCAAGCCAATTTTGGTTCGGCTTGACCAAACCTAAAGATCTAAAAGGTTACGTAATTACTCCACACTTAACACCAACATCCACCCATTTAATGGTCTTTCTACTCACCACATGTTCAATAATAAATTCTAAGTGGTGATGTTCAATGATTGTGGTGTAAATGGATGTGTATCCTACCCTTAAAATGGTCTTCATTATAACACTAGCTGGACTAAAGTAGATGGGCACTGGCTTTAGTACCAATGAAATAGGTACAACCATAAAAATTATAAGGTTGGACTCTAAGGCTAAAAGTTTCTCCATGGTTGGTAAAATCAGAGTGGGTGATGTGTTTTCCTTTTCTTTAAGCTTAAAGAAGGGTGTTTTTAAAGATTTAAGTACATTTTCAACTAAATAACCCTCATAAACTTTGTTATCTGCCCCATTTAATTCCACAGCGTGCATTTAATCTTTGTAGGGTTGGGGAATTAGCAAGGGTGGACTATAAAACTCAGCTTAACTTTAGTGGGACTAATGCTAGACCTTACTTGAGTTTTAGATCCCAAATTGGTTCATCCTTAAAATCTATCTCTTTAATTGGATCTAAGCTTTTTGAAATTGCCTTCCAAAATTGTAATAGCTCTTCATCTTCCATCTAAATGTCTTTTTCCATATATTCCCCTTGAAATTCTTCTTGTGGTTCCTTCTCAATATATTCCTCAAGTACTTTCACAAAACTAGGCAGGTTAACCATCACGAGCTCATCCATCAGGTCATCCTCATTGTCATTAGTAGCATACACCACTTCTCATTTCCTTTGATCATCCTTTAATATGCACTCCACTTCACCCAACCAACTTGGATCTACACATTTGGTAAGGCTTTTCAAATTGACAATTTGGGTTTTGAGGAGGATGGCTTGATTTCGAATGAATTTTGTTAAAGATTCATTAAGGGAAGAGTTTATTTCTTGAGGAAAAAATGGTGGATCATATGGTGGATGAGAGTATGGTTGTGATGGAAGGTTCATAAGGTAGTATGTGGAATTGAATGACAACTCTTGACTATTCCCTGTGCATAACTAGGCTAACTCTCTAAACCTTGAGTGTAAGTGTTTAGATAATAGCATGATTGGCTATCTTGACACTTGTCGCTATTGTACTTCCCCTCATAACCATGATAGTTATTAGATGCACTCTGAACTGATTGAACATGTTTAAGATTACACTTTCTTCAAGAGCATCTATCTTTTTAGTTAAAAAAGTGAGTTGTGAGGTTATTGTTGAGAGAGGGTTTTCATCATACCTTTCACCATTGTACCATGGTCTAGAAATTTGGAATGGCAATTGGATGTACTTAAACGATGACTTAGCATAGTCTCCAAAAGTTCTAGCCTCACTACAATAGAAATTGGACATATTGGAAGAAAAAGAAAGAACACATTCAAACAGAAAAATAAAAGTATAAACTACAAAGTAGAAAGAAGTGTCAATGATATTGGTTTTCTAGAACCGATATAATCCCTGGAAAAGGTGCCAAAAACTTGATTGCTCTTTTTTATGAGGTTACAAGTGCACAAGTTGCTACCAAGTAATAAAGTGAGTAGGGTTGTCAATCCCATGAGGATTATGTTGGGCTACAAAACTAAATACCAAAGGGAGTTCTTTCTAACTTTATATTTTGACATATAAAAAGGTTAATTGGTTGAAACCAAAAATGAATGGAAATTATAAATGTATAGGCCAAAAGCCAAGTTAACCAACTATCATTTCAAAGCTTAAAGGGCAAGCTTGTTATATTAGAAAATAAAAGCATCACCAAAGGCTATAGGACTTATGATCCACTTACAAGTAAGGTGATTGTAAGTAGGAATGTGAGATTTAATGAGCAAACTGCCTGGAATTAGGAAAATGAGTCAAACAAACTGCTGCATACATGATAAGCTTCCAAGATCAAGAAGATTACATGTTTAAAAATAAAACCATTGATCATGAACCAATGAGAGGAATCAGACCACTCACAAATATTTATCAAAGATCAAATATTGCCATTCTTGAACCTTTAAGTTTTGAAGAAGCTATCAAAATTACAAAGCGGAGGAATGCCATGAAGGAGGAGATTCGGATGATTGAGAAAAATCAAACTTTGATGTTGGTCGATAGACTAAGTAACAAAACATCTTTGGTGTTAAATGGATCTTCAAAACAAAGTTGAATGTAGATGGTTCCATCAACAAACTGAAAGCTAGATTGGTAGGTAAAGGTTTCTCCAAACAACAGGGTGTTGATTTTTTAGAGACATTTGGTTCAGTTGCAAGGTTAAACACCATAAGGCTGCTATTAGCCTTAGTAACTCAGAAAAGTTGGAAAATATACCAATTTGATTTCAAATCTGCCTTCTTGAATGGTTATCTTGGAAGGAGATATACATTGAACAACCTAACAATTTTGTTTCCAAAAGAGATGAAAACAAAGTCTCTCTATTCAAGAAGGCTTTGTATGGATTAAAACAAGTCTAAGAGCTTGGAATTCTAGAATTGATGATCATTTGTCGAAGCTAGGATTCAAGAAAAGCCTTAGTGAAGCAACATTGTACATTAAGGTTTCTAACAGTAATGATTTGTTAATTGTTTCTTTGTATGTTGATGATCTTTTGGTGACAAGTAGCAAATTAGCTATTGTGGAGGATTTTAATCACCAAATGCAAGAAGTTTTTGAGATGACAAATATAGTAGAAATGTCTTATTTTCTTAGAATGGAGATTCATCGAGACCAGCAAGGAATCTTCATTTGTTAAAGAAAATATGCAAATGAAATCTTGGATAAGTTTGGGATCGAAAATTGTAAAGAAGTCAACACCCCTTTGGCTCAAAATGAAAAACTCATTAAGGATGATGGAGCTGACAAAGTTAATGGTTCTATTTATAGAAGCTTGGTTGGTTGCTTATTGTATTTGACAGCAATAAGGCTAGACATCATGTATGCTGCAAATTTACTCTCTAGGTTTATGCAAAATCCTAGTGAGTTGCATTTTAAATCTACAAAAAAATTGTTGAGATATGTTAAAGGAACCAATGAACTTGGAATTTGGTTCAATAAGAATGAAAGTTAAAGACTAGTTGGATTCATAGACAGTAACTTGGTTGGCTCTCTTGAAGACATGAAAAGCACTTCAAGTTATGTGTTATTTATTGGATTAAATGTGTTCAGTTAGAATTCAAAGAAACAAGGAACTGTGGCTTAATTGATAGTAGAAATAGAGTATATGGCTACTACTGCTATTAATCAAGCTATTTGGCTAAGGAAAATTCAGATGGATTTAAGTCAAAAGTAAGATGATCCAATAGAAATTTTTTGTGATAATCAGTTAGCAATTACAATGATTAAGAACCATGTGTTTCATGGAAGAACTAAGCACATTAAGATCAAGTTTCACTTTATTAAAGAAGTTTTAAAGTTGAGAATGAAGTGAAACTTGTGCATTGCAAGTCAAAAGATCAAATTGTAGATATTTTGACCAAGGCCTTACCAAAGGCAAGGTTTGAAACATCAAGGAAAAGTCTTGGTGTTTTCAATAGAAATGCCAAGGAAGAGTGTAAGTTGTTGAAGCAACTAGGTATGGCATCTTTACTGCTACTTGTTCTGCCATTTTATCGTTTAGGTAGAATGATGGATCTGTGTATGGTGATCCATACTGTTACGCAAATAACTTTTGTAGTAGTTAAACAAACTTTTGGGTTTTGATGCCTATAAATTAATGAAATGAAGCTCATAATCTGTGTGAGCCAATTTATTGCAATTATCAAATTAGTTTCTTCATTTTTTCCTTTGTTCTTCCTCTGCTCTATATCCTTCAAGGGGCATTGAAATTTGTACATAGGCTAGTTTTGGTGTGACGATAAAGTCAACGACTATTTAAAGAGAGTAAGGATATTTGGGAGAGAAAAATAGTGTAGCCAAAGAAAAGGTCCTGCTTAATATGTATGAATATTTTTAATTATTTTCTATTGGTGTCAGTTTCACGGATCCTAGGCGTGAAACATCAATGACGGGTATTTGATCTCATCCTTAACATCAAACATACAAATACAAAATGCAAAAGAAGTTGAGAGTTCAAACTGTACGTCTCTTCACATTTTAAGGGGAAAATTAGCATCATGTATTCATAAGATAGGTAATGATTAACCAAAGCCATTGAATTAGCTAATAAGCGAATTTCCATCAATTACTCCCTAAGCGCTGATTGCTGGCTTCCAGTAACAAGATGATAGCTGGCACTATCCAACTCACTCAGTACCCCAAATTTCTTTTCGTACTCCTCCACAAGTTCCAGCCTACAAGAATTCAAATAAATTAAAAATCTAAAAAGATATGTGTAGGATATTTAAATACAAAAAGGATAGTCTCTCACCAGTATGCCATACACTGAAATGGGGCATACTTGCTGTAAATTTCTTCAACATCTTTTTGAATTGTCCTTTTAGAGCATTTTCCTTTGCCATGTACCTGCGGCTATTAAAACACTAATCAATATTTTATCAAATATGTGTCATAAAATAAAATATTGTACCTCTTTCAAGTGTCTGATCGTTTCACTATCTGATGGAATCCTTTTATATGATCCAACACACATCATTATATTGGAACAGACAAAGGGGCCAAAGCCTTCAACTTTCATCAACTTTTGATACAATTTGTCGTGAGATGTTATATCACAAGATTCTTCAATTTCCCCGTTCTCAATCTTTCTAGCAAGTTGAAGAATAGACTGAGCTCTATACCCAAGATTGCAGCGTTTGTTTAGATACTTCTCATCAAGGTAAGCTAGTTCTGTTGAGGTTGGAAAATTCCCTCTAGATTGATCGAATTTGCTCCTTGACGACTCTGAATTTGAGCTATGCTTTAATCTTTTGGTAAAAATTTTCCGATTGGAATTGGATTTTACACCCATGGGTTGCAACTGAGCATTAGCCATTTGTGCTTGAAGTTCGCAGAGAGCCTGAGCCATGGCCAATGTCCTCTTCCACCTTTTCGGTAATTTGGACACAAATTGAAATTGTTATCTATTAGTGATATTTCCGTGGAAAATAAAAGAGAGCAAAAATTTTCCAGTGTGTACGTTTTTTTCATTTAATGAAAAGAAAAAGGAAAAAAAGAAAATGAAGGTCCCGTTCAAATGTTACTGATCGACCATAAGATCAAAATTTGTTAAAACATAATTTACCCGCAGTTGCAGAGAAGGATGGACTTGACAGCATCTTCAAAGAAGGAAGGGGACCGAAAAATTCGACCGAAACCTTTCTCCTTTGCTGAAGCATGCAATGTTTGGAACTCCCTCACGTCTTTCTCATCCTTGCTTGAAATCCTCAGCATTCTTGCAACTTGTTCCTATCAATTCTACAACGTTATACTTGTACATATATATTGATCAAATAAATAAATAAATATATATATATATATATATAATACCAATATAGCAGCTTCATCAGCAGAGGGGAGAGAGTGAACGCCATGGACTTTTATAACAAGGAAAGGGTGGTTGGGAGGGTGTGAAACGGTGACGGAAAGGGAGTGGGAAGAGTCTGCGAGTCGAAGAGGACGGTAAAGGGATTTGGTGGAAGGTATCCAAACATTTGGAGACATCATGAACAAGCCATGATTGCACACTGCTTTCTCCATGTTGAAGCTGGAGGAGCAGTCTCCTAATGCTAGCTGTAGTAGGAGCTCATCCATATTGTGAAGCAGATTTACCACTACTGTTCAAGGTTCAATCGATTATATATTAAAGAGGTTGAAGGTTTTTCTAGTGTTTAGAGAAGGGGCTCGTGAGTCGTGACCATAAGTCCATGCATGAAACAATGTTCTTCTTGGGAAGCACAGTTTTAGATGGTTACCTCCTTAATTTTGAATTCATGATGATTTTGTTGTGATTTATTATTCACCTAATTCACCAAGTCCATTCATATTCTTTAGTGTTCCCTATAAGCTATTTAAAGTTGGTGAGAATCACAACGTTCTACGGAGTTTGATCATTTTATAAGTAGGGAGATAATTGAGTTATTCTTTTTTCTTTAACTTTGAATAACAAAGACAAGACGATTGCTTTCTTTTTATAACAACAATAATGTTTGTATAATATCAATACACTACAAGGGGAACATGCTTTTGTGTAACCTATAAATTGTATTATTTATGAAATTAATATGATATAATTAGTTATGATTTGTCAATAATCACTAATATTTTAAAATTATTCTGCTCTCATATTACGTTGTCATCATTATTAAAACTTAAGTAGTACTATTTTAAATAGACATAAGACAATAGTATACATTAAACTTCATAAATAAATATTCATTTTATTACAATAAATATTGCATTAGGCAGAGCCTCTTCGGGTTAATTTAGTTTATATTTAAAATGAACCAAAACAACTTTAACAGCCAGAATTCTTATTATTAAATTAAAAATAATTATTTTTAATTTTATCTTAAACCTAAAATGTAAATATTATTAGAGATGAGCAATCAGTTTATTTGATTTTGGAAAATCAAAAATCAATTTAATCGATCTTTCTTAAAAAATAATTGAATTAACTGACCTATTTTAAATAATAAGAACTAATCGAACTGATATACAATCAATCGATTCAATAAAAAAAATGAATTTTTTCACTATTTTTTGCACCAAATTATAAACAATAATTGCAATAATTTTATCTAATAAAACTCAGCTACTAATTTTGACTTAATTTCTGAATTTAATTTAATTTAATTCGTAATTCATGATCATCAAATAATGTGGCGGTAAATTAGACAAAACTGTCATGAAAGTGACAATTGAGTGAGGCCAAAAAAGAAAATGGGATTACGGTTGAGTTAGACCTTTCGAATTATGAGAATAGCAATATCATTATCCTAGTTTTTTTTAGTGGGAATCTAAAACTTCTAAAGAAAAAAAAATAGAGGTAAGATAAATTAAGGGAGTAAAGAAGAGTAATTATCCTCGGATGGAAAGAAACTCTATGACGAGATATTAAATTTATACCGACGCGTGGACATAATAAATTGTCAATATTAATTATTAATATTAACATATATAGGTAAAAACAGTTGAGAAGAGGAGAGTTGGCCAATGAGGTCACATTGTTGCATGGATCTCAATTAATAACGCTTAATCTAATACAAATAAAGAATGTCAATGTTTCTTAAATGCTCGGTGGGCTGTTCATCCTTGGCTGCAATCGTACTCGCTCCCTCCACTTTGTTTGTCTCAAGCTCTGCAATCTTGTTCAACTCCCATTATAACTTCTCCTAGTTTTTTTTTTTTTTTTTCATCATTTCATAGCGACTGGTATTCTTTTACTTTATAATCTTTGCTTAAGCTCGACTAGTATTGATGGTGAGTAGGTTGGATTTGATTTTTGGATGGTCAAGCTATCTTTAGATTTGTGTATCACAATTTTAAAATTAGCGAAAAATAATTATGTTTTTGCTTAAAATGTTGTTACAAAATGAAAGATGAATGCAATGCACGAGTGAAAAAAATGTAAGAATATTTGCCCTTTGACATTTTTCAAAGAAAAAACTTTCATTTATTTCAAAGAAGTCTATTTTACACAAAGTCTAATATTCTTAACTTATAAAAACACTTGATCTATTCATATTGGTCATTTGCCTCCTTGATGAAGTTTAATAAGCTTGTTGTCCTTGATTTCCTATTGCATTCACTACACTCTTAAATGCTTCAGCATCTTCAACCATCTCTCTTGCCTTAATCACCGCCTCATGAATTTGGATTGCCAGATGCTTTATATATCTTTATCTTTTCAAATTTTCTCTTTTACCAAATCAAACTTAGTATGACAAGTCCTTATGCTCCCTAGCGAGAGTAGCAATGTAATTTTTTACTCATTCAATTTCTGCTTTATCTTTTGTATGTGTTCCTTGAGCATGTCATTTTTTATCTAGGCTTGGAAGTGTTCTTCTTCCATTTCTGAATACTCTCTTTTTAGTCATTCATTTTGGCAAGTCAAATTAGTGATGTTTATTTCCTTAGCCTTCACTTTAATACACAATCTCTTGCACTCTTGATGTAGTTCAATCAACTCATTAATAGTTGTGTCACATTTTCTAGTAATCGTTTAGACTTTAACCTCTTGGTTCTCTCACTTAGTGCTTATCCTTTTACATTTCTAATGTAGTTCAGTCAAGTTATTAATAGCCATGTCACACTCCTTAATAATCTTACAAATTTTGACTTCTTGCTTCTCTACTTCATATTTCATTTTTTTTCTTCTTAGAATCTTTGAATTGCCTACTTCATCTTGTCTTTCTCATCTTCAAACTCTTTCCTTGCAAGCTCCAATTCCTAGGGTAATGCTTCCACTTCTTAATTCATTAACTGCCAAGAGTCTTTAAAAATGAACACTACTTCTTTGCCCCTCTCTGCTCTCCATGCTAGATATTCATGAGTGACTTTGTTAATGAAAGGAAAGAGTTTTATTGCAAAGTCTTTGCCCCCTCTTTGCTCTCCATACTAGTTCTTCCATTTTTTAATTCATTAGAGGGCAAGAGTCTTTGAAAGTGAACACAACTTTTTTGCCCCTCTTTGCTTTCCATACTAGATATCCATGAGTGACTTTGTTAGTGAAAGGTCCAAGATTTACTTTTGTGGGTTTCTTCCATGCCTTAATCACGTTATCTACATTTTGTAGCACATTTGGCTCATTGTAAAAAAAGTTTGATTGACTAAGCTTATGTGTCATGGGAATGAATTGCTTACTCCTAAATTGCTTTCTTACCATAAATGGTGCATGGCTTGTTACTCCCCTTAAGCCTAAGAGCATAACCCTAATTTCATCTCCATATTGATATAACATTGGCTAGTGATTCACTTGTGCATATGTAAGACTTTGCAATAAAATCATCCACTTTTCATTGGACTTTTGCTTCAACCATTCACTTTCACCAAACTCTTTGATTAAAGCACATTTATGAAAATAGAGCTTCAAAAATATATTCTTCTTACACTCAAAATGGCTTTTCATCCATAAATACAACAATGGTACACATCCCACAAAGCAGCTAATTTCCTTTTGGTGACAATAGGTCAAGGATTTGATTGTTTCAACTAGGATTGTAAATGAAGGTTACAATATGCTAAAAGAAGTCAATCACTTCCTTTTCAATGTGAACTAAGACTTTAGGAAAAACCACCATACCACATATGCACAAAGTGAATATATCCATTCCTTGGTGATTATTTAGGTGCTTTGTGATGAAGTCATGAAAAAATTCCAAGGTAAATAGATTATTTGCTTCTTTCTTGTACTTGCACATTTATGACTTCCTTATTGACTCTTTTAAGGTCAGTCAACTTCATGCAAAATGATGGTTTTGCTTTTTGACCTATATCTTATATGGTAACTGAAGATGTACACCCATCAATGTAGAGTATTCTTCTATGGAAGGTGTCATGTCGATTTCATTGAAAATAAAGCATCTATGATCCTAAAACTGAATGACTACTTAGATTAAAGTGTTTTTTACTATCACTAAAAGGAGATGTGCAATATGACTATACTTTTGGCAAAAATCTTATTGTCTTGATGAACTCATATGCTTCCATATGTCCAACAAGTCGTCTAGATCATTTTGCTTGAGACACAAATGGACTTTTTTAGGCAAAGTGGAAACATAGCCAAGTGTTGACAATTCTTTTCTTTTCATTGAGTTCTCTTTAATTCAATCTTCAAATCACTAGGTAACTCACACTTGGTGAATGTCTATGAGGCATAAGCTAGACATTCTGTGGACTCCATGAAAGTTCTTTGTCAAAACTATCTTTAGGAAAAATACTCTTATGCAACTTTATGAATGTTTATGAATCATGGATAAAAACAAAAACAAACAATGAAAAAGGTCAGTTAGCACATAATAGAAAAATTAAAGAAAATAAATTAGTTCACAACATATATAATAAAAAACATGTGTCCTAAACTTTAAGTTAATTCTACAAAAGAGGGACACATGGCTTTACCTATAGGTTAGGTCTTTAAGGTTAACTATGTGTGGTTTGGATTTTTAATCTAAAGGTTCCCAAATTATTCTTCACATCATTGCCCATAATAGACTAGTAAGTTACCCCAATTCTCAACCATCATAAGCTACAAATGGAAAAGATTTAAGTTGAGTGGGAGTATTTCACTAGCCCATGTGGAGGCATAAAATCTCATGAAAATGTAGGCACTTTACTCTTTCCTAGGGATGAAGCCTAGTTATAGAGCTCATATTATGATTATGCACTTGATGACCAAATATTAAATGGTTGAAAATAAATAAAGTGTTTTAAAAGAAAAACTCTTTAAATTTATTAAAATTTATTAAGTTTAGGCTTAGATAAGACAAAATATATTACTAGCCTGATTCTTAGCTATCCTCACTGCAGTCACCAAATTATTATAATGTACAATTTAGAAAATTATTGCTAAACATAACAATACGAGTTGTCACAAATTTTTTTTTATTTAGGTAAGATTGACCACCTAATTAAATCTTTCCATTTTTAAAGAGAAATCCCAAGCTTGACTCAGGTTCCTTAAAAATGCATATTCTAGTCTATGAAACTAGACAGGATTCGAGAGTATGGTTATGTGCAAGGAAGGTTATAGCATCATTGCAATACCCATCCAAATGATGATACCAATCGATTTCATGTTATCCAAAGCCTTA